TATTCAAGTAACAATGCTGCATGATAAGTCCCTATCTCTTCATTTACCAGTTCAGTCCCTAATGGTTGAAAGAGTATGCATTATCTTACAAAAATAATTTGCAAGATTTGTTTGTGTATTTTAAGGACATTCTAAAAGTATTAACTTTGTCCTTTCAAAAAAAAAAAATCAGACTTTCTTACCACTTTCTTTACTATTCCATCTGCTTTACCTCTTTTTGGAGATTACAGATAGGGTTTTTTAAAACCTTAAATCTTCTCCAATGAGGAGAAACTTTGGCTCTGATCCTGGAAACATGTATGTGTTTCACACAGCAAGAACATATATTCCCCCTCCTGGAGTGCCTCAGAGTTAGAGGACTAATGTGATATAATCTTTTGCGGGCAGATATAGAATCTTTTGTGTATTGCACAGTATAAACAAATATAAAATGTTTTACAGGTATGTATTTCAAGTTCTTAGTTCTATCCAATCACCAAGTGTGAAATTCAAAAAATTATCCCTGAACTCTAATGTAATCTAGGCTGGATTCTGAGATCTGTGTGTGTCTTCTTGCACAGAATTGTGTGCTGACACCAAAATAAGAAGTCAGCCTTAAGGCCCTTGGAAAGTCCCAGGCCATCGCTTACCCAGGCCTGCATTTCCATTTACCTCCCATCCGCTGACCCATGTAAATTTGGCAACTTGTCCTTTCTTTAATTTAGGTACTTGAACATTTTACCAATGTATGAGCAGAATAAAAGTAGGGGGAATAAATTATGGAGTGATGTGGAAAAGGTTTTACAGCGACTTCTGTGAGCCAGAAAGAAGTTTGATCAGAGGATTCATGTTTACCCCTGAAAGAATTTTCTACCAAGGTTATTGACATAGAAACCAAGAAAGAAAGAAGAAAAAATAAGAGAAACCTGCAACTGCCTATTCCAATAAGCACTTTGTCTGTCTTTCCTGACCAATGAGTAAAGTGTAAACTTATGAGTTTTGTAAGAATGTATAAAAAGCATGCATGCTATAATAAAAACAGGTTTGAAGCCTTCTGAAAATGGAGTGTGTTGCTTTGTATTGTCTCAATTACCAGAGAGTGATACCAGAATTTTAAAATAGGTATCTTTGCTAATTTACTGAAACTCGCTTCATGTAAGGCACATTATCAAGTAAATTGCCCTGCAAGTAAAATTGGTGTGTTGCTGATTCAAAGGCAAAGATTATAATGTTACAATGTATAATTGATTTGTCAGCATGACGTTGCACTTGGATTAAGAGGCAAACACAGTTTACCTCCTCAGCAATTAATTTTTGTGTATTTTAAGGAAATTCTATAACAGATCATATATAATACATGATCAACAGGATTGTGAAAATGATTGTAATGATCAATAAAGTATCACATCTCTCATAAAAGTATCCTAATCTAAACATTTTCTTCAGTCTTTTTCAAGAAATTGGCACTTAAATTATATGCACAATAGTATGCTTTGATTGCATGAAAACAATCTGTTTCCTGAATAGGCTTAAAATTCATCTGCAGTAGTCTATGTTACTTTAGTGTTAAATAATGAGGTAGCACATTGTTCCAAAATTGTTCTGGATTATGTAAACCATTTGCTACATGACGTTTGGATTTCATGTTTTGTTTAGAGCTCTTTGGTAAAGCAGTACTTTCTGTCTTTTCTGGCTTCCTGGGTTTGCTTTTCTTTTCTGGAAGTTTACTACTATAATTTTTCCTTTTATCTTTTGCTTTTTCCTCTTCTTCTTCTTCCTCATCCTCATCTTCTCCCTCATCCTCTTCTTCCTCCTCTCCTAAATCCCCTTCCTCCTCATTTCCTTCTTCCCCCTCTTCCTCTTCACCTTCTCCCCCCTCTCCCTCTTCCCCTTCTTCTTCCTCCTCTTCCCCTTTTTCTTCTTCTCCCTCTTCCTCCTCTTCCTCCTCACCCTCTTCCCCTTTTTCTTCTTTCCCCTCCTCTTCTTCTTCCTCCTCACCCTCTTCCCCATCATCCTTTTCTTCTTCTTCCTCTTCACCCTCTTCCTCTTTTTCCTCTTCCTCCTCTTCCCCTTCTCCTTCATCTTCTTCTTCTCCTTCTTCCTGTCCTGCCTCTTCCCCCTCCTCTACCTCTTCTTCTTCCTCTCCTGTTTCCTCATCTCCCCTTTCTTCCACTCCTTCCTCATCTTCCTCTTCTTCTTCCACTCCCTCTTCTCCCTCATCTTCTCTGACATTCTCTTCTTCCTCTCCTACTCCCTCATCTTCTTCCACTCCTTCTCCCTCTTCTCTATCTTCCCTTTTCTCTTCATTTTCCCCCTCTTCTTCTTCCTTTTCATCTTCTTCCCCCTTGTCCCCTTCTGCTTCTGCCTCTGTTTCTTCCTCTTTCTCATCTTCTCTTTCCTCTTCCACTTCATCCTCCCCATCTTTTCCTTCTTCCACTCCATCCTTACCCACTTCCTTAGTTTTTGTATTTGCATCTTCCTCAATGTGCTCTTCTTCAGATACCTCTTCTTCCCTCCCTGCCAATGATTCTCCCAACTCCTCCTCTTCACCCTCTTTGTCTTTTTCATTCTCCCTTTCTATTTCCTCTTCATTTTCCTTTTCATCTTCTTCCTCTTCTGCTTCTACCTCTTTTTCTTCCCCTTCCTCTGTATCTTCCCCTCCTTCCTCACTCTCATTGCTTCTCTCCCTTTTAACCTGCTCTTTTCCTTTTTCAGTGCCTTCCTCTTTCTCATACTTCTCCTCCATATCCTCCTTTTCTCCCTCACTCACCATTTCTTCTTCCTCCATCAACCTGCCTTGCTCATCTCTTTGCTCTTTGCCATCTTCCTGGCTGACCTCCTCAGTCTCCTCTGCACCCTCATTCCCACTGTCTCTTTCAGTCTGTGATTCTTCTTGTTCATCTTCTTCCTCATTATCTTTTCCCTCATCTTTTTCTACTGAAACTTCATCTCTGTCTTTTTTAACCTCACTTTCTTCTTCCCCTAGTTTACCTTCACTGTCAATTGTTTCATCCAATTTTTCTTTTTCACTTTCACCCTTTTCACTGCTTTCATTCTCCTGCTCCTGATCAGATTCCTCCTCATTCTTAATTTCTAAGGGCCTGTCTTCATCAGGTTTAGCATCAGAGCTTGTTTCTTCCTCATTCAGGCTTTTTACATCAGTCTGTTCTACATGGTCTTTCTCATTGTTTGTAGCTTTCATCTCCTCAATCTCACTGTCTTTTTCTAAGTCCAGATGTGTCACTGTCCTCCTTGCCCTCTGGACAACTCTGTGTTCATAATAGGCATCTTCCTTAAGTATATATTTTTGGAGATCATTAGTACTTTCCTCAGTTGAAGATGATGATGAAGTTACAGATACTTGTTTCAAAAACTGATGCTTTTTTTTAAGATCCTTCTGTTCTGCACTACTTTCTTCTCCTGTGACATTTACTCTTTCACACTTGTCAGATTTTTCAACACCATCCTTTAGTTTGTTTTGACTATCTGTTGTTTTTTGACTCCCTTGCTTTTTAACAGGACGGTATTCCTGTACAGTTAATGAATCAGTCTGGGGCTGATCCCTGGGAGCAGAAGGAAGTACCTCTATTTTAAGGGATTGCTTAGATTTAACAGCTTTTGGCTTTTTATTGGAAGAATTTATTTTTTCAGTCAGAATTTGATTTTCAGTGGGAGGATTATATGTTGCATCCTTTCTGAAAAATTCAGCATTTTCCACACACTCTTTTTCCCCTTTCACTAATATGCTTTTGTCCTCAGTAATTTCTCGAGCACCACTTTTCAAAGTACTATCACTTTGTGCACGCTCAGATTTACCTTTCCTGATACTTTTTCTGGCCACAGGCTTCCCTGCAAAGGCACTACTCTTTTCTAAATCTTGTCCAGTTGACTCTGAAAGTGAAGACTGCTTTTGTAAAGAGCCAGACACTAATTTTGAGCTCTCCTTTGTGAAATCAGAATCCTTGTTTTTCAGCCCACCCTTACCATCTCTTTTCAGTTTCACATTTTTATTGTTCTTCTATTCCACATGAGAAGCAGAAAATTAAAAAGAAAGAAAAAAAGCATTAAAGACAAATGGCAGCAAAAGAAAAAGGTTACAAAAGCATCTGAACAAGAAAAGAAACAATTTGCGAGAGGGGATTAAAAGACAGCATAAAAGGTAGAATATTTCACATGAAATGAATTTACAAGTGCACATATTAGAAGAATGTAACACCCTGGTAGTGCTACACCTTTCTCACTATCCAAGGAAATGCAGCAGGAGTTGTGCAGCCAGTGCCACAGCCCATACACCAGAGCAGGGGCAATGCATGAGGCTGTGCAAGCAGAAGGAAATTCATACAGTTCTCTTACACTTCCTCCTTTGGAACCCTTCTGATGCACTCACTGTTACACCATTTAAAAGCTGAAGTTTGAAAATCTGTCGTCTATTTGCTTTAAACTGTACACTTATTTAACAAATTATGAATAATAACTTTAAAAATCTAAAATAAAATTTTAAGGAAATATAACAAAGTGCTGAAAAGCTGGGATCACTTTAGGAGTGAAATAGAAAGTACTACAAAGTACTTTAATTTCATAATTAAGACCAGTATTATTGCTTCTTTAAATATACTTCATGGTGAATATCTGTAAATAAAATATTTACACTGTGTCCCAAAATATCTTCTTAGTAACAAACCAGTAGAAATGTAGGTTATTACATGAGGTTACAAGATGTATATGATAGTCTCTGGCTTCTTAAACTGGTGAAATATTACACACTCATCTCAAACTGCACTGGGTATGTGGAGTTCTAGGTGCCCAAATTCTCTCTGCCTTCATGCAGCTTCTTAGAATTTTAGGTCATGGATATTCAGAAAATTAGCAAGAGGAGGTCTATAAAATTTGCCTGACTTTTTAAAAACTCAAAGCAAAATAATGGACAATACAAGAATTGCAATAATGGACTAGGACAATACAAGAATTGCAGATTTTTAAACATCAGTATCAATATACAAATATGTAATTAGTTACAGTACCTTCTGTTTTTGGAGTGGTGATAATTTTAAGGACCAGTCACCAGGATTCAACTTCATTGCATGTGTCTGCAAAAAATAGGATCTCGATTAAGAAAATAAATATATTTAATACAGAAAGCAGCATCAAAGCCCAGTTTTACTAAACAGATCTAGTTTATGAACATTTTAATATTATTGCACAGTCAGGGTGAGACAAACCTGTATGATCAATCAGCTCACCTGTTTCACTTCCACTCCATCGTTTACTGCTTATAAAGAGCGTGGAGAACAAATGTCAACACCTAAACTGTCTGTAGAGACTGAACATTACCCTGACCTTTCTAAGAGCCCACAGGCACATTTGAGATCCACCTTCCTCTCCCTGTGAGGTTGCAAATAGAACCTTACTCCATTATCATCACAAACTTAACTCAACATCCAGTTTGGCATCACAGCCTTGAAAGAACGTCTTTAAAGAAATGTTGCACAGCAGAAGTTTTCCTTGGAATCTAATACCTTTATCTCTTCCACATAAAGCAAGAAACCAAAAGACAATATAGAATACTGCTAAGTGGGAACATATACTGAAATTTTGCTCATCCCTTGCCATATATTCCAAATGACATTGTAATAATATTGTCTGCTGCTGATTATTAACTGCTCATGGTTTACCTACATTCTTTTTCAACACAGTGAGCATGGAGAGTTCTGGTTTCAGACTCCCAATAATTTGTATCATCAATTTAACATTAAAGGTCTTTCCTCCTCTTGTCACATGTGTCAATAAGATGTATGTTGCCACAGTCTAGAAAAATTGAAAAAAACTATGCTGTAGCAGATTGTTTTCATTCAGATCCAAGAAGAGCAACCATTTATCCTGTATTTTGACAAGTTTGCCTGATAGATTTTTTTTTTTAATTTATGTTTAAAAATTGTTTAAATGTTTTAAATTTGATTCAGGATAGGTATAAAACTGAAAAGGAGAAGGAAGACTAGCACATAAATTGTGCAATATGTAAATTATGCTTCAGTAAATTAATGGAGGCCATGCTGTGCATTGGATCTGATGACATTTTTTTTCTTGTAAATCAAAATGAAGTTTTATAATGTTAAATAAACATAATGTTAAATAAATGCCATGGACAAACAGACTGTTAAATTACTAAGTACTTTTAAATGCAAACAAATAATAATTCCTGTAGTTGTTCAATCCTTCCAGCGTAACTGTGGCTGCATTAAGGCCAGGACATGTCCCTTCTGCTGAGAGAACAAAATGTTTTGGAAAGTTGAAAGTTGTACAAGTGATAAGATGAACATGTTTTTAAAATAAAAGAAACATGTAGGAACAAGGTGGGGGATCACCAAATAATCAAAATGTCTGGATTTTGGCCTTCCCTTTAACATGATCCACCTGTACTAAAAAAAAAAAAACTCTTCTCAAAGTAGGAAAAGATGCTCTTCTGCTTCATTTCCTGCAATTGTCTGTTGGAAATCAAAGAGAAAAGCAAGGTCAGAGATAGAGATCACCATGTGGTCTTCAGCATCCCTTTCCTTTCCCTTCTGATTTCCAGAGCTAAAGTGTGGGGAGGCACTGCACTACTTGGACTGCTTCAATCTCATATCACAATACCACTTTGAAAATTAAAACATATTTTAGCATTGGGTAATGATGATACAAAATGCATGTTCATCTAACAGTGTGTCAGTATGATATCTGTCACATAGGATGTTTTGGTAGTCAGGAATTCTGCATTAGAACCTGAAACACAATTCAGATTTTTTGTCTCTCCCTGCAAAAAATTACTGAACTACAGATCCATTACTGGAATATATTACCATATTTAGGACATCAGTTGTATCCCCAAGGTTTCTGTCAAGATTTTCATTATCTGAATCTTCTTCTGAAGAGACTTCACTAGGTTTATCTTTTTGATTATTATTTTCTACAAGGTAAAATAGAGGCAAATAAACAAATGTCATAGGAACAAGCACTGTATAGCAAACAGAACACTCCACTCTTATAAAACAGAGATTATTCCTATTTTACTAACACAGAACTGAAGTCCTCAGATTCTTCATTCCCCCAGCCCAGACACAGCAAAAGCACTTCCATCTCCTTTCATCATTAACAACAGAGGGAGCTCAGCAATCTGGTCTCAGTGCACTGTAGATCTCTGACCATTTCTGCAGGCTTTCAAAGCCTAAATATTACCTGGGACAAAGATTCTTTTGGATAATATCCTTAATAATAGTGTAAAAATTAGACCAAAGTAGCAGCAGTCATGTTATCTCCATTGCACATTATCTATGTAATGGATGGAGAGACAGTGAGTTAAATTCAGCATTATAAAAATGTCCCTACATCATTAAGCTCATCAGGTTTATGACCATTTTGTACAGCACAAAACCTGAGGTTTTAGATCTAAGAAAACTCTAAAGGAAATTCAAATTTCACTGCATTGCTTTCCTGGAACCAGAAATGCTAATGGACATGCTGGCAGATTTAAAAATAATCATCTTCATTCTATGAATGAATTACTTTCAAATTAGATTTGGCTGTCCAGTAAATCTGAGCTAACAATTACACAGAAGCTCTGCATTTTGCACTCTTCAGCATTGTTCTTTCTAGGAAATCACACAGGCCCAGGATGCCAGACAAGTCCAGAACTGCCCTAGAGAATCTGTGCCAAAGTGCAGTGCTGCATTATGGTTATCCAGATTATTTCATCAGCTATAATATTATAAATCCTTATTATCTTAGATAACAAAGAGTAAAGAGTACTTCTGCATTTCCCAGTGAAGAAAGGTCCTCTAAGAATTAGTAGACCTCTTATGTTTTCTTATCCAAGTTCCTGGTGGGCTTACCTATGTCCTTAAGACTGTTCCTAAGCTTTTTTTTTTCCTGTAATTCCTTTTTATTGTGTGAAAACAAAGTAAGTAGCTAATGTTTTTACAGTATTTTTGTGAATCTTATTTCTAAAGGTAACTACAGGTACAATTTATAAATTGGGGTTTTTTTTCACTCAAGTCTCCTCTTAATCTTTAAATTTGCTTTGCAAACATGAACAGTGTGAGGCCATTTTTGCCTGCATTTCTCTGCTTTCATGCCTGTATGCTGCCAGACTGTCCTGAGGTAAGACTGAACCTGAACTTCCTTTCAGGTTCAAACTGCACATGTGTTTATGAATGATGAGAGTCAAACCATTCTAATCAGAAAACAGCAGCAAGATGTGGGGACACTTCACCTTTCTCATGGTCTCCATCCCTCCCAGATTCAGCTTTAGGATGACTTGTTGCAGAAAACCAGAATGGGCTGGTGTTGCTTGCCACAGGCAATGAAGATTTTAAGAAGCCTTCCCCCATTGCAGGCAGAGTTTGTGCCATTCGAGCAAACTGCTCTGGTGACCTTTCCTTTAGAAGATTGAAAACCAATAAATTGAGAAAAAGGGTAGAAGAACAAAATGTAAGCATTCTCTCACCCATACCAGTGGTATTTGCTGTTAGCTTGGGATACAGTGTTGCAACTTAATAAGTAGAATATCTTTAAAAATTTTAATTACTTATAGTACTAGAAAGTGGGCAGGTACATAGTGGGATTTTTAAGATCATCTCTATGCAATGATTTCAAGCAATCCTAAAATATAAGCAAAGGAGAAAAAGAACTTTTTCTTTTTATCCAAAATGAAGAACTAAACTCTCAAATAACATCAAGGTATTTAATCCACAACATCAATATATTTTTATAGAATAAATTCGGGTTTTGGTAGAGTTAGTTCTCAGACAGGTAAGTGAAATGATCCAATTCATTGTGCTGTTTAAGGCAATCACATGGAATGTGTAGTGGAGATAAAAGAGCAGAAAGTAATATTTTAAGTAGCTACATCTAATATTCTCCTTTGATATTTTATGAACTATGAAATTGTTTAATATGTTCAAGGATTCAGAGGGAAGAGCAAAAGAGTCAGGTTCTTCCAATTTTTTAAAAAATATTTCTAAGATAGTTTAAAAATGCAAAGGAACAGGTTCTACATTTTAGAACAAAAAAAAAAATATAAACTCGATTTTAATCTCTTTCACAGAAATAATTAAGCAAAATCTGACCAATACCTACTTGTTTTTCTCCTGCATCAATTTTTGGGACCAGGGTAAATGTCTGTTTTTCATATTATACATTAAAATTAAACCCTTAGTTTAAGAAGATGTATTTAACTGCTTGGCATATGCTGTGATTTAGCTATAAAAGTGATTTTGATTCCTGAAAGAAGCATTGCAGCTCTAAATATCTCTGAGCTTACCCTCTCTCGACGTCGCATTCGTGCTGCTGATAACTGTAAAGTGTTTGCCAGCACAAAGTCCCCTCTGCTTTGAGAGGTAGCAGCAGTCAAACGAGGCTCATACAAATCTTCCAAGGGGATTTCAGATCCTTTAGGTCTTGGAGCAGCAAAAACCAGCATGTGACAACCCCCACAAGCAACCTATAGCTCAAAAAAAGGTCTGATTACTTCATTTGCAAGTATCAAGGATGCACTTTTCTTACAATCATTTCTAGGGATTTAGATGATAAGACAGAAATGTAGTAGAAGACACAGCAAATGGCTTCAAATTTAGTTCCCAATTACACCAACAAAATAAAAGTACTTAATCACATTTATTAACAACTAGGATCTATGTTCACTGCTTAGTTAAATACAATCTATTTTTACTGAACAGAACAAAAGACAGGACTATCACATTTTTTAATATAAAAGATAGCAAATATATTTCCACTGATTTTCAAGAGACTTTAGCTATTTATTTGGATACAAGTCACTTGAGAGCAATACTGATAATTTCAAACCTAAATATTTTATCAAAAAATCAGCAAAATGTAAAATAAATTCAACACTCTCCAGTAGACACAATATTATTACATAAAAAACAGAGGTTTCACTTTTTAAAAGGTTTGCAACACTCACTGCTTCCAATAAAACTTCCTTCACCTCTAATTCCAGTAAACAAACAGAAGTGATCAATAGACATTTGTTGCAAATTTTTTTCAATCCTGAGTCGTGTTAATATTTTTGATGCTGACAATTCTCTGACATTTCTTCCACACCTCAAGAAGCAGATGAAAAAACTTCCCTTACACAATTCTCTAAAGAAAAGCCTATTCTTGCTTTCTTGTCCAGTTTGGATTAAAAAAAACCCTCAAATTTTCTTGAGGTTTAAAAATATCTCACTGTACAAAAATTGTCAAAATTGAAAAGATTACTCTCTGGTGTTTACAGAAAAGACAAAAATTTCCCCATGCTTCCAACCATCCGAGAGTAATAAATAATTCAGTTTATAAGTTACCAGAGCTCTGAAGACCAAAACACCACAGCACAAGAGTACTGAATAAAACCCTAAAGAGCAATCTGTATGTGTAGCCCAAGTCAAAGACATTCTAAACTAAATTAACACTGTGCTAAGCATATATAGTTTCCTCTTTCCTTCAGATTGTATTGTCTACTTATTAAATGTTATAGAAAGAAATAATTCTATAATGATAGTTCAGCTCTCATTAATAGTGTTTCATAAAAAGATAAATATTATGATGTCTGAGAGGAATGAACAAAGGTTTTACCAAAAGGACTGTGAACTTCAAGAAATTGTAACACAGAGTGGGATCAAACAGATTTGTAAAACTCTCTTCTCCAAATCCTAACTTGCCATGTCGTCCATCTCCAAAAGTAAACATCAGGCCATTCTCTGCATATGGGAATAAAAAGGAAACAAAGATTCAACAGAAAACCAGGACAGAACCATTAAAAAGTAACAGGCTATGAAAGTAAGAAATATTTCCCTTCCAAAAGCAAAATCTGAACAATTATTTTTTACATCTTCAACAGATTGCTATTATTTAAAAATATGCATGTTTTCAGACAAAGTACTGTCTGAGATGTTGGTCTAGACAATTTGTAAAAAAAACCACCCCAACAAAATAGTAATATTTAAACTATACAGAAAAACAATGGCTTCTAAACAAGAATATTTGTTAGCAAGGCATAGTTAGGAGGTTATCATTCCCCAGGAGATACAGAGTTATGCATGGCATGGCTCTCAAGTCAGAAATTCCTGTTGAATTCGCCTTTCTCACTGGCTCATTTCACCTTTAGAACGAGTAATAGATATGTCTGCTACTGCTCATTGTATAAGGAAAGTTTTTACAGCATGAGAGAGAGTTGCTAGAAGTGGTTCCAGAATTTTGCACTCCCATACCTGCTACCACAGCAGTGTGATTTTCCCCACATGCAATGTTACAAATTTTATGCCTCTTCAAGCGTTTCACAGGCCTCGGTACTGAACTTTCAAACACGAAAGTTCCATGTCCCAGCTGCCCATACTGTCCAAGTCCAAAAGTATAAACATCTGTCTCTGAAATTATACAGGCAAAGTTAACAACAAAAATGCTGCTATGTATATTTATTTATTTATTTATATAATAACCTAAGTTTTATTCAACAAATGGAAGGCCATTGACATAAACATAATTTTAAAATGTTACTCAATTAAAAATGTGCCAACTAATCAATTACACTTATCAATTATTAATATACAACAAAATAAAAAATCCAGGAATTGAAGCACTGAAGTATACACAGGAAATAATTTTAAATAGTTCAATGTGTGATATATTTTCTAACATAAATGCAAAATAATCCACTGATCATATGTACACAAAGCAAAGTTAAAAAATGTATGGGAATTTACAAACTACAATCAATTCAAGACTACAATGTTTATACATTTATGTGCATTTTCACAATAGTCTCATCTTAATTACTCATTAGTTCCACGAACACTGTAGGGCCCTAAATAATAGACAAGACCTCATAATTTGTATGTAAGAAGAGACTGGAACAGAATAGGTTTCAGTATTCTGTTCAGCTACCAAATCAGCCCTGCAATAAATACAGAGAACACTATAATTGTGTTATCTTGTGACAGAATAATAATCTTTCCACATTTATATTTTGTCTGTTTAATGGACTGTGTGTGCCAGGAAAAAGAATGAGAGCTTCTCCAAAGTAATAAAGATTCTTGGTGTGTCCATCCCTGGCACTCCATCACTACAGGGGAAGATTGTGAAGCTTGGAAATCTTGATGAGGTCATGCTTGAACAGAGGAGTTTTTTGGGAAAAAAGGAGAAGTTTTCCTAGAATTTAGTTTCTTCCCCTTTTTCTTTTGCATGTAGGCAACAAAGGAATAGTGAGAGAAATTCTACTCAAAGCACTTGAAAAACTATTATGAAAAAATGAAAAAGATTATGAATTGACAAAAACCATTCCATGTTAAGTTAAAAGAACTTTCCAATTACAAAGGAACTGTGGTGAAATAGTAACACTACATATGGAAACGTTCTTTCTAGGAAAGTCTTTTCCTTTCCGTTCCTTATAAATTGTTCCATAATAAGATATCATAAATCCACACCATAAAAAAAAAAAAAAAGCCCAATGGTCTCACATTTTTTATCAAGTTTTATTCAACAAATGGAAGGCCATTGACATAAACATAATTTTAAAATGTTACTCAATTAAAAATGTGCCAACTAATCAATTACACTTATCAATTATTAATATACAACAAAATAAAAAATCCAGGAATTGAAGCACTGAAGTATACACAGGAAATAATTTTAAATAGTTCAATGTGTGATATATTTTCTAACATAAATGCAAAATAATCCACTGATCATATGTACACAAAGCAAAGTTAAAAAATGTATGGGAATTTACAAACTACAATCAATTCAAGACTACAATGTTTATACATTTATGTGCATTTTCACAATAGTCTCATCTTAATTACTCATTAGTTCCACGAACACTGTAGGGCCCTAAATAATAGACAAGACCTCATAATTTGTATGTAAGAAGAGACTGGAACAGAATAGGTTTCAGTATTCTGTTCAGCTACCAAATCAGCCCTGCAATAAATACAGAGAACACTATAATTGTGTTATCTTGTGACAGAATAATAATCTTTCCACATTTATATTTTGTCTGTTTAATGGACTGTGTGTGCCAGGAAAAAGAATGAGAGCTTCTCCAAAGTAATAAAGATTCTTGGTGTGTCCATCCCTGGCACTCCATCACTACAGGGGAAGATTGTGAAGCTTGGAAATCTTGATGAGGTCATGCTTGAACAGAGGAGTTTTTTGGGAAAAAAGGAGAAGTTTTCCTAGAATTTAGTTTCTTCCCCTTTTTCTTTTGCATGTAGGCAACAAAGGAATAGTGAGAGAAATTCTACTCAAAGCACTTGAAAAACTATTATGAAAAAATGAAAAAGATTATGAATTGACAAAAACCATTCCATGTTAAGTTAAAAGAACTTTCCAATTACAAAGGAACTGTGGTGAAATAGTAACACTACATATGGAAACGTTCTTTCTAGGAAAGTCTTTTCCTTTCCGTTCCTTATAAATTGTTCCATAATAAGATGTCATAAATTCACACCATAAAAAAAAAAGCCCAATGGTCTCACATTTTTTATCAATTGTAGATGAAAAGTATTGAGCACCTGGTTTTTTTACTAAAGGTAATGGTAAAGCTCCCTCTGCTGGAAATTTTAGTGCAAGAAAGTAAAACCTTCTAGGGAGCTTTATAAAGTAAAAGAAGTAGTTAGAATTTTCCTGTAATATTTAGACTCCCTGCATACGAATCAAGAAACTACACCTGAAAGACAGGAGCTTTCTCTAAGCAAACAAAAGTCTCATCTTTATTTTAGTAAACTGCTTTCTCAGGATGGCTGATTAAAAAAATTCTGTTTAGAAGTACTGCAATTGTTTTAACAGTTCTTTGGAAACTGGCAGATATTTTAACTGTGTGGTTTATCTGATTAACATAATTACTCTGAATGAACTACAATTTTTTTTTCTTTAATCCTAGCATGAAACATGTAAAGTCTTTTGCATTTGTGTCAAGAGGGAGATGTTCTCAAATGTTAACTTTAAAAGTGCAGGGAATTCTTTCTTTCCTGTGTTTCTACTGAAAATGAGGGAAAAGGCCAATCCCAAGCCAGGTTAGAGTGCCTTTATATGATGAAGAATTTCTTCTGCTGCCCTTACAGACCAGTGGCACCTAAATGTTGCTCCTCCTAAATTTGCTTCTTAGTGAATTATCAGGGTAGAGGAAGAAAGAAACCTTGCACCTTTCTTAAATGACTCACCACTCTGGTGCAGAAGTGAGGTCACACCTCACTAATAACCCCTTTCAGTAGAAATGAGGTATTTCCTCCCATCTGTCTTTATAAATGCATGGAAAGAGAAGAGTATGGAAAAGCAAGCTCACACACTTCTTGATAAAATGACAAGGGTGAATTTCATCATTCTGAACACAGCAGCAGCCCATGAGAGGGCCTTGAAGCATAAAGAGAAATCGTTTCAGAGGTTGCACAGAAGACAATGGCTTTGCTGTTCCAAGTGACCTCCAGCACTTGAGCGCTGGAAGAGCTGCTTCTTCATTTCCTATTTCTCTTTTTGGAAGAAAGGGGATAATTCCCTGTAGCTGTGTTATCTTCCATCTTTGCAGGCATCTTTTGTAATCTCTGTGATCGTTTGCACTATCAATAAAACAGTTCTAGGCAAAAAGCTATATAGCTTTCATATTATTTTTTACAACGTGCGATTTGCTGACAGAACTGTACGAGCTCAAGGAATGTTTTTCAGAATCATGCATTCCCTGCTATGTATCTAAGGCTACAGATGAAGTTAAAAGTCTACAGAACTAAAAAGGAAGCAGACAGGTAAGCTTATATCATAGTAATATAGAATGGTTTGGCTTGGAAGAGACCTTAAAGATCATCTGGTTCCAACCTCTTGCAATGGGCAGGGATACTTGCAACTAGACCAGGGTGCTCCCATCCAGCCTGGCCTTGAACACAGCCAGGGACAGAACATCCACAACTTCTCTGGGAAACCTGTGCCAGGGTCTCAACACTCTCACAGTAAAGAATTTCTTCCTAATATCCAACTTAAACCTATTCTCTGTCAGTTTGAAGCCATTGCCCTTTGTCCTGTCACTCCAGGCTCTTGTAAATAGTCCCTCTCCATTACTTCTTGTAGGCTCTGTTCAAGGACTGGAAGACTGCCATTAGATCAGCCCAGAACCTTCTCTTTTCCAGGCAGAACAACCCCAATTCTCTCAGCCTTTCCTCACAGGGGAGGTGCTGCATCCTTCCAATCATCCCAGTGGCCTGTCCACATAAATCCATTCTCCTTAAACATTACCATTATTATTATTGTTACTACTATAACTATTATGCCAATGAACTATTCATTCTCACAATAGCTTTATTTTTAAACAGCTTATGCTGAAAAATGTTACGGCGAAAAATCAACTGTCAACACAATGTTCAGTATTCAGAATTAGTAACTGCATTTTCAGTACAAATAGTATACAGACTTAAGAACGGTTTAAAAAATCTAATAATCCTATAAGGTCTGAATTGTGAGTTCTGACAGGAAAAAGTAGAGTTTTTACATCCTTTTTGTTCTCTTTCAAAAGGGTGCCTTGGCTTTCTTTTCTTTTTAAAAGACCTTGAGACAGAAGATGAAAAATCCAGCATTTTACATACTAATGCACTAATGTTCTTATGTCAAACATTCTATTCTCAAAGGTCTGCTTCACTTTTTCCTTTGAAGAGCTATCTTTGCTTTCCTTCCTTTCAGAGAATGAAAGGAAGTAATATATCCTTCTATAGAAAAAAATATTCCCAGAGGATCTGTCCTCATCTGAAAAAAACTGCAAGATATTAAAGCCACTCCAAATAATCAGTTTCTTCTTTTCCAATTTCTAGATTCAGATTCATTATTTTTCCACCTGTTAAAACACCTTATTGAAAAAAGCCCACAAATTGGGATTGCTGCTCTCCCATATTTCATTTCAAAGTGATGACACCAACAGCTTCCATTTGTAGCAGGAAGTACCTGCAAGCATTGGGGGAAGTCGGTGCAATTTTTTCAGTTTCTGAGAAAATGAATCTGAGATGAGGACAGGCTCTTCTCAGACTGGCTGACTGACTGCCATGAAATGAAAAGCTTTGTGCTCTCAAGATTTTGCACTATAGAATTCTTAAATGCAATTCTGTTTATTGTCTAGAACAATTGCAAATATTAAAGGCAGAGGTAACAATAGAGCTTGGAAAGATGATGGTTTCCAATACCACACTCAACGTTTCTAAAACCCATATTTTAAAAATTGGGCTTTTTCCTAAATTATTGCTCTCAACAATTTAATTCTTGTTCTCTGGGAAAAATAATTGAGTTTCTCATTTTAGAATTTCAGAGGAAAAAACCCCAAATAATTATTTTAAGCTATACTTTCTACCTTTTACTCTGACACTTGTAGAGATTTCGAGCAGTACCTTGATTTAATAGCCCAGATAACAGTGGTTCTCACCACACAAAATTGCCAATAGAATAGACAACAGTCATAAAAAGGAAATCTTATGAAGTGCTTTGGAATAGACTAATTACACATGAAAGTCAGGAAGAAACTTGCCTTATACTCTGTAAGATAACTGAATTACGCTTTCTTCTAATTTGATAAACTCTAAGTAGAAATGATGTCAAGAAATGAGCCAAGATGAGCAACAGTTTTTCCATTTACATTTTCTCTTCTGCTTTTGCTATGCTAAATGAGATAGATGAAGCAGGGGAATATTCAATAGTCACACACTCAATTCTTGTTTCCTGAGACTGAAGTGTCACATCCTTAAGAACTGGAAAGACTCTGAAAGGATGAAAACTACACCAGTATATGTTGTGTTACTAAAGGCAAGCAACACACATTTTCATGGAGGATTAAACTTGAAATTCAGAGTTTCTTCAAAATTGTATTACTTTCTTAATTTATGGAAATGAGCTTAAAAGAGGTGTAAATGTTTCTGCCCCTCTTTAAAGATATCTCATCAGAATTCTCAGTTTTTGGTCACATACTTCATCTCAAGATGTAATTTAGGACCAATTTAAAGTGAAGTTTCTGGTGCAAAGCCATAAACGTATGTATGTCACAGTCCCTTAAAATTTTTAGTATCCGTATCTACCTCTTTTCACAACTTTTTGCTCAAATTTTGCTTTGAGTCAGAAAATGTTCTCTATGTTAACATTTCTGACTAAGTATCTTTCATTTGAGACAGTATTGCCACTGTTCTCCACAGTTTCACTCAGTGTCTTAGTCAGAAGTTCATATTTGTCACCTATTTAATAACAGCTGAATCACATTAAAAAACATCCATCTGATTTTTCACTCTTATCACAACTATTAATCTTCAGGAAATGTATTTTGTTGGAGGATATGGTTTTCCTCTTTTTGTGACTCAACTAGGTCCTCTGGCACTCAACACTTTGATCATCAACTGCCAGCACAGCCAGCATTGAATTTCTTATTTACTTCTACTAAAGGATTTATTTCGATAAGCAAGCAAATCTTACATATATGCATACTTATTACAGTATTTTCTTCACTGCATTTTTTTCTATGGCATTTATATTTCCCTCTTTATTCCAGCTCTTGTACAGATTTCACTGTAATGATGATGGCATCCAGGTCTCGATCTTTCTTCTAAATCTCTGTAACAGTCATTGGTTATAATGATTTTTTTATCATATGAAACACCATTAAGTCAAAATATCTACTGGTTGAATTCAGATTTATGGTAAAGAAAATAATCAATGATGATAATCAAATTCTTTCTACTAAACTCCACTTTATAACTCATAAAACAATGCTATGATTTATGCATTTGTTGGTCCCAAATTTATGGCAGTTTTTTTCACTAATAATGATAATCTGATTTCACATAAATAAATTTGTGACATAGAATACTGCCAGAGTAAGACTGTATCTTGGTGGAAGAAGGAGACAAAGGCATTGAAATGCAGACAGATGTTTACATTACTTCCTGGATTAGCTACTGCTATTTCCTCTTTAGAGTTTCCCCAAAGGAATTTTAACCTACCCAGAATCTTGCAGCTTCACTCACTACACAATCTTTACCAGCATTTCACTTCCACCTTTACTCTTTCCAATGGCTTGCAGTACAACACCACATCTATTACTCACAATCTCCCTCAGTTAGATTTTCAGTTTATATTTTAGAAAGTTTAGCTACATAACCTTGAATGCACACCACAAGATTGTCAAGAGACAATCACAGAAAACCTTCAGAATACAGATTTAAGGACTGATATCTACACATCCAACTTGGTTTTACAGCTTTTTCATTTTGGCAGAAAAAAAAATCACAAGCTATACAGTTTTACACATTCTATTCATTACAAACTAAAGCTGATATTTTTTAAACTATCTTCAGGCAAAGTCAAACTTACCTCTCCTGCTCCTACACCACTTCAGCTCAGGATTGAATTTGTGGAAATAAATGGCTGGCACTGCTTTGCATGTATGCCTTGGAAAAGCTAAGTCACCACTGCAGACAATTATTTAACAGCTCAGCAACACACAGCATTTTCCAAGTACTATATATGTGGCCCTGTGAATTAATATGTAACATTTGTATTTGCTGATTTTCATAACCTGCACAATGTCAAATGTATATGTCTGTACTGGTTTCATATTTATGCTAAAGATTCTGCTCAAAGGCACAAGATAATTCTGTCTCACAATAGGAGATATTTAATCCATTCAGGCATGCAGTAGATTGTGAAGCTACTTGAAAAGTGACTTCCTACATACATTCCTAAATATTCAAGAGCATTTAAATTTACTACAGAATGGAAGCTTTCCTCTAGAATTTCCCTCTCATTGCAATAACAATTTCAAGCTCTTAGAGGAAAGAAACATCAATCATCTGCATGGCACCAGGTGGTGCTGGCTTATTACAATTCCAGTAAGAAAGGCACTCAGCCTATGTAAAGTTCTCTTAAAATGATATTTATTGGAGCTAAGACTATAAAGAAAAAAAAAGACAGGATCAATAACCTTCTGTCCCTTCAGAGGCTGGAAGTCCTGAGCTGTGTGGAATTGAAAAGGACCCCAGCACACATGTGGTAACCATGGAAGGTTACCTCAGTTTGAGCTCTTATAGGATTTTCTTACATCCAAAACCACTCTATATATCATTTATGCTGATAAATTCAGTATTTTATACTGAATAAAAAGGACATTCACATTGGAACTTGCTGATGAAGTTTCAGGTAAAGCAAGGACAGGCAAGTGGTGTCAGCCAGGAGCTGCTGGGATGCCCCTCTGTTAAAATCACCTGGCCAAGCTCCCCTGTAGTCAAGGGACATGGGCAGTGCAGCACAGGCCTGCCTTAGCTGGGTGGTATATGGATTTCTACCTCCTTGGTGTACAATGACCTTCCAGTTAGGATCAGCATCCAGCACTTCAGTGGGATGCAAATTCTTTAGAGTTAATGGAGTTTAAATCACAGGGCTGTAAGAAAAGCCAGTTAAATTGCATACCTGTCAGCACCACGGTGTGTTCTCCACCACAAGCAACCTTATTAACCTTTTCCATAATTCCCAGTACAGGCTGTGGGACTCTATTGTTCTTCAGCTGTTCAGGGAATAATCCCAGTTTCCCATTCACAGATTCTCCAAAAGTATAGAGCTCACCATCTCCTGTGAAAATACAGAACAGAGTATGGTTTCTAGCACATACTCAGGAGCAAGAATAGGTTGTCAAGACTGCTGCAGACAAAAATTTAAAGACAGAAAAGTGTTTGAACATTACAGGATAGATGAACATATTTGTATAATGCCCAAACAGCTGTGAAAAGCACAGAATTCACAGAATGACTAGATTGGAAGAGACCTCCAAGATCATCAAGTCCAACCCAGCCCCAACACCTCAACTAAACCCTGGCACTGAATGCCACATCCAATCTTTATTTAAACACATCCAGGGATGGTGACTCCACCACCTCCCTGGGCAGACAATTCCAGTACTTTATTGCTCTTCCTGTAAGAAACTTTTTCCTAATATCCAGCCTATATTTCCCTTGGCACAGCTTAAGACTGTGTCCTCTGGTTCTGTCAGCTGATGCCTGGAGAAAGAGGCCAGCCCCACCTGAGCACAGCCACATTTCAGGGAGTTGTAGAGAGTGACAAGGTCATCTCTGAGTCTCCTTTTCTCCAGGCTAAACACCCCCAGCTCCCTCAGTCATTCCTCACAGGGCTTGTGTTCCAAACCCCTCATCCTCACTCTGCTTTGATGGGACACAAAGGTGCTAGAGTTGAGTCCCTGCAAATTCTGAATCACAATATTTATCCTGCAAAGAATGTAGCCACAGGAAAAACAAAACCATACACATCCTGCTTCTGAGAGGTGGTAATTCTCTCTGTAATCAGTATTTAAGTCAAATGAAGAATTGCTTGTAAGAATCTTAACTAAAACAGAAAATAATTTTGTGTGGAATTTTGATGGAAAATCAACCTGCTCAAGCAGGGTCATCCCTGAGCACATGGCACAGGATTGGGTCCAGACTTTTCTGGAATATCTCCAGTGAGGGAGGCTCACCACCCTCTCTGGGTGTCTGTCCCAGTGCTTGGTCACTGCACGGTGAAGAATTTCTTCCTCATGTTCAGGTGGGACTTCCTGGCCATCAGTTCCTGTCCCATTGCTGGGCACCACGGAGCAGAGCCTGGTCCATTCCCTGACCCTCCCTGACAGACAGGGATGAGATCCCCCCTCAGCCACATCTTCTCAAGGCCCTCTTACATTCTTCTACGCCTCTTTCCTAAGAATTTTTTGCAGTCATTTCAATCTGTCTGCACTTCTTAAGAACCAGCAAATTACCTTAGCTGCAAAAAAAGTAAATTTCACTAAATTTTAAACCTATGAACTGTGTTTAGGCTTCTCTGTTCAGTTTGATTTCCTGTTTTAATTCTGATTTTGTTCTTATATCTATGTGCAGAAATACTTTGTTGTTATTTGCATCAGCATCAATTTTCTGTTCTAAAACACTAGCCCAATTAAAAAGATAAAAATCAACCACAATGTGAGGTTTTCTGTAATCAAAACATTCTGCTGACAAAAAGAGATTTAAGCATTCTAAGTGGAAAGAAAAAAAAAAGGCAACAAAAGAATCCTGTATTTTTTGGAAGGTAAGTATTTTTTTCAGTACTCTTAGATCAGCCATATATTTCTAAAAACAAGTTTTAAAAAAACCCAAAAGCACTTGGGAGATAACTACTTATGCAGTTCTCTTTGAAGAGACCAGCAGTTCTTAAACACTATTGCACTGAAAAAATTAATCCAATCACTATCTAATTAAGAGGATTAGAAATTCAAATGGCCAAGCCTCCCAAACTCATCAAGTTTATTACATTTTTTCCACTTAATAATCCAGCTAACAAAGATAAAACCATTTACCAAAGCAATTTTTGAATATATTACACATCCCTTTTAGGCAAATAGTGGTCTAAAAACTATGAAAAACAGCAATCAAGCATGAACAGAACCCAGTCAAACCCAGATAAATTTTGAGTGCAGTACATCTGCATGCTGAGGACATAAGGTACTGTGTGGAGCACACCTGAATTTTAAGGACACTCTGTTCACAACAAAACGTGGTTATTTAATTTGTTCCTCTCATATGAGTCACACTCTCACATTTTGAACTTTCCCTAATGTGATTTTCTGTATCACTAAACTTAAAATAACAGAAGCATATCAAGAAAATGGACAAGTGAATGGAAAATGTCCCCCAAAGTTAAAGGTGCATTTGAGTGCATAGATAAGAGACCTGGCTGGTGGCAAATGAGGGACAAAAATGAGTGGACAAAAGAATTGGATAACTCTAAGATTTCTTGAATAAATGAAGAAGAAAAAGAAAATAAATATTTCTTAAGACCAAATTGGTTAAAACTGTCTCAAACACTGAAATTCAGAGCAGAGAACTGTTTGTGGGACGAATGATTCTTAAACCAGTCCTTAAAATAATGACAAAATATATTTTAAAAAAAGAATTCAAGGAACCTGCAAAACTCTTTATGAAAAGACTTCTTCTCAATAAGAATCTATCTTGACCTTGGTTACAGTTACAATTCAGGCAGGGGAAACACTAGAAGGGGGTCCAATATATTCAATTCCTTTTTGTCTCCACACATCTAATTCTGCTGTAGAAGCCAGAGCAGTGGTGAGATGTATCAGCTTTTCCTGCTCTCCATCCCCTGCAGTGGACAAATGAGCTGTACATGCTTGCCAAGCTTAATGCTTCCTGAAAAACTGTCCCCTCCTGAGTGTGTGATCAAAGGAAAGTAAAGATCTGTGTAAGTGCTCAAAATTGTTGCTACACTCTCCCAGCAGTTTATCTCTCTGTTGATTTGCTTGAGACATAACCCTGATACTGGGACACAATGTCCAAAGCCTGCTAAAAGGGAAGAAAGGAAACACACTGTGAAAAAATCCTAAAGAGAGCTGGAAGCTACAGACTAAGAGCTTCTTTTCACTGGAACTCTTTGACAAATGCAAAGGAGAGAGAAAGGGAGCAAGCAATCATCTTCCAAATATGAACTGAGTAATCAGACTAGTTCTAAATTTGCATGTGGAATTGAATTAGCCATTGCCTGTGCATGTGCCTAGTCTAAATTCCAGAAGTGGGCTTATTAAATTTAAAATATTCAGGATTTGTTCTATTCTTCTGTTCTGCAGCCACTGTGGCATCAGTGGAGTCCACATGTACATGGCAGAATACAGGTGACACATGTTCAGCAGTCACATTGTCTGCAAAGAAGGCCTTCTAGAAAGCAGAAGGAAGAAGGGTGACATCATCTTTTTGGAACTATAAGAGGCATTGCTCCTGTCTTTATACCTTAAAGTTAAAAGTCTACTAAAAAAAAATCTAAAACCCAGCAATGTCAAAAAAATAAGAACTTCATTTTAAAAGGAAAAAAAAAGCTGGAATCCATACTTCACCACCTTTTTATTCAATACTCTCTTATTAATGAACATCCTGCCCTGGAGAGGGCACTCTGTGTCCACACTATGTTTTCTAGTGTCCTTATGAGCCACCTTTTAGTTTTAACCCAGATATGCCTGTGTTCCCAACAGGTTTTTGAGCCAGCACACACCTTATGTCAAACATAAACATATTAAGAAAGGGAGCTGTATGGTGCCATGCTTATCAGTTCAGTCTGACAGCATCTTCCAAGTTTTAAATCCTGCAAGTATGTTACACTATAGTGTATTGTTTGAGGTCTAAAAATCAAAATGTGGTAATTCTATAGTATTCTAATAACTGGTACATAACACATCCTGTGACTATGGTATATTCAGAAAAAATGTATAAAGCTAATTTTTAAACACTGTGTAGATACTCACTGACAGTAGTGCAACAGAAAATTGATTCTGCAAAAGTACTTGGATGCCCAATATTAAATTTTTATGGTAGCTGAAGTATCATTCAAATAAAACTGATGGCAAGAGGCCCAAGGAAAGTAATAAAAAATTTTATGCTTTCACCACAAAGAAGGCCATGTGTGTGTCAGTAGCTTCAGTGACACAGACTGAATTCATGCAGGACTTGCAGATATTAAGGCTAAAAATTAAGATTTTCCATCTTATACTCAGGCCTGTTTAAGTAGTAATAGGTTCACCAAACTCCTCATTTTCACAGGTGATAACCAGTTCATTCTACCTATCAATATTTTAAGAAGCTCCATTTTTCTTAACCAGGTACAATCCTAAGCCTTTTTTTCTTATCCTCTTCCATCAAAAGTTTTCACTTCCTTCGGGCACTTGGCACACACTGTTCTCACTTTACTCTCAGATGTTTGTCCTCAACCCTTCTACTAATAAGAACTTTTATGACATCCTGCTGCACTCCTGGATCTTCAGCTCTTGGCTCAAAGGCAGAGATACACACATTACAACTACATCCTTGAAGCAAGTATCTTTTTTCCCCCCATTTGTTCTGATTCCAGAAAGCTACATTTTTCCAAATAGGTGCTGAGGTCCTGATCAGTCCCAGACACTTAATTCATTTACTGTAATAAAGCATTTGTAATCAAAAGTTGCACACTACCAGCCTAACACCTAATTAATATTGGTCCACTGTTGCAAGCTCTCATTCTGTTAACAGCATGTTCTCAGAGAGCAATAAAGATATTGTATGTGGAAAAGTAACATTCATCAAGTATTCTGGGAAAGGTGTCTGATGGAACAGCTCCTGGGTACCCATTAAAAGCTTTACAATCAAAACTATCGATCCTTTGAAATCTTTAATTACTCTAAGGGGACCAAACAGTAAAGTTTAATAATGTAAATCTATATGGCTGAGAGGAATTCATAGCTGCTCATACATAATGCCATCAATACTGGCTGATAATTCATCCATACTGGCATTATTAAAAGGTGAGTGGAATCATCACTTTGGAAACCAATGGAGAGTTGGGAAGAGACAGGTGGAAAGTAATAGGAGGTGGTTTGGTTTGGAGAGCAGACAACAGCTCACTGCAGCATTGCTTCTCCTCATATCACATACTGCCTCTTTAACTGACTTCAAAACTTAAATTTTAAGACAGAAAAACTTGGACAACAATCTTTTACTTCTAACAAGATTAATTTTTTCTCATAACAGTATCTCAGTTCAATATTGGTATTTCTAGAGAAGATAATGTTTATTATTTGATCATCAAAAAAAAAAAAATGTTGGCTTTTTGAAACCATAGTTTTAATCCACAATATATGCAATAACCTTTATGAAAACAAACTGTGATAAGATATTTCATTCTTTCTAATATACTTTCACATGAGAATGTGCAAATGCAGAAAATTAACTACAAATTTTTTCTCTGTGTGATACAGAACTATATAGGAGGCTTTCTGTCCCATGACAGTTTTTAACAACTATAGGGTATCAAGTTTCAAATAACTATTTGAAAACCACTGTCTTGTCTCCACTAACCTCTATTCCCATTCTCTTACCTGTAATCAAGGCAGAATGATAATATCCACAGGATACAAAGGAAACAGGTTTTCCAATATCCACTTTGCAGGGGACACTGACAGAGGCTTCACTGGCCAGGCCAATCTGCCCTTCTGAATTATCACCCCACACAAAGAGCTGCCCATCCTCTAAAATGAAGACACAGATAGTGAATAGATTTAAAACAAAAACTAATAAAAATGTAATCTATTTATTGAAGAGTACTTCAGAAACTCTGTATATGATACTACTGAATGTCATGATCTCAAGGATATAAATGACAATTTGGCTCAATGCAAAAAGGAGTTGGAAATAAGAGGGTTTTTCTTAAGCTTTTCATAAGTGACCCAGAACACTTACATATCAACCAATGTTAGGCTATAAATACCAACAGAAAAAACACTGTGTAAAAAACATTCCTTCAGAAAGAGAAAGAGACTTAGTGAGACAATTCAGTTGCCAGAGGTCAGTATGAAAATATTACAGTGAATTTAAGGCATCTTCTCATTCCTAGGTCTAAGTCACCCCTTTCTCATTCTTCCAAACTTATTGTTCTGATTTTGGTAGGCATCCCACTTATTCGTGCCTTATCTTTCAATTCTCCTCACAGGTGGTTATACTGACCAGCTTCATTTTGCTTTCCTTAAACTACAACAGAAGATGCTCCAGGTTTATTAAGACGAGCTTCTATTGAAACAAAGATCAATGGCAACAGTAAAACAGCAACAAAAAAAAAAAAAAGGCAGTGAGCAACATGAAAAGTCTGTAGATTCTTCTAGAAGAGATAAAGTCTTCTTTATGCATATTTCTTATTGTTGGGAAATAAGTTGTGAATAAAAAAGTACCACCTACAGTGTAACTGAGGTGGTGTTAGGAGCTAAAATAACTAGAAGTTGTCGTAAGAATCTAAAAGTCTCAGGAGAGTGTCAGAAATTGGCATAAACAAACAAACAAGCAGGCTAGTATCTCTCTCAAGTTCTGAAATTACACCCTCAATAACTTACCCTAAACAGGTACAGAAAAAACTGCTTTACAGCAAGAAATGAAAAATTGCATTATAGGGTAATAAAGGACCACCCATCCACTTTGTGATAGGAAGTATTATAACTGTGGATTTCAGCATGTTGTGATGTATCATTGGTATAATTCTGCCACCTGAGAAACAGGTGAGAGGCTCAGCCTCTCCCAGAATTAGTAAGGAATGACACAGCTGTGCAGCCTGAACCAATGGACTGCAGTAACAGGTGGAACTAGAGATGCTTAGTTTTCATAGGATTCATGTTTTGTAGCTGCTTTCCCTGGAAATAAACTGATGGTTTTTTTGTTTCCATTTTGAGAGTATTCATACCATTCCTCCTCTGTAAGTATTTCTACTAAACTTTCACAAAAACTCTAAGAAATTAATGAGACGCCAAACTGTTAAAGCAGGCAATTGACTGCATTAAAAAAAAATTACTGTGGCTATCCAGCAAAGAAGACAGTGAGGATAGAAAATACATCCACATATGCAGACAGAATGCTGGATTAAGTGTCTTCCTGGAACCAGGTTGGACACACATAAATAGATTTTATTAGCAGTTGTTCTCACCAGTTACTGCTGCTGAGGTGTAGGATCCAGCTGATAGTTGCTTGATCTTGTGCTGGTTGGTGAAAAATCTAATTAAATGAAATGTGGTCCTTTCCTCTGTGTCACCTAATCCCAACTGGCCTTCACTGTTACCTCCAGCAGCATAGACATTTCCTTTTTCTGTATACAGAAAAGCACAGGTAATACAGAGAAAAAAGAAACCAGAACAAGTAATTTAATTTTCAATGGAAAAAACATCACAAAAACATTAGGGCCTATTGCCCTGAAACACCCTCCTGCTGAAATTAGCAGCTCTGTTGTAGCTAGCAAGGTTTTCCTGTACACACTTAGAGCAGAACTTCCTAAAGACCTTACTGCATTTCCCATTATTCTGGAGACTGATGTAAAAATAGATGTGATTGGAAGTTCTGCAAGAGCTCTGAGAAAATGACTACCAGTAGCCCTGGCAACCAGAAGCAGCTCTTTCCACAAATAATGTGTATTTTGCGATAAAGTGGGAGGAAAAGGGTGCATGATGTCACACACAAAAAAAACTGAAGCTGTATTAGTACGTAAATTAAAGAAATTAATAACTTGATAGTTTTGAGTACTGGGAATGACATATATTTCTGCTTAGTTTTTTAATTAGAAATATTTTACTTATTTTAATATTTAAGTAACTTCCAATTTAATTAACCAGATTTTTTTTTTAATCTTGAATTTAATGCTGATGACAGATATCTTCAACTTTAGAGAACTGTAAGATTTATACTTTTAATTTTAGTATGTTGCACATCTAAAGTGCCCATCTATGCAGAAACAGATACATCCTATTATTAATTAGAAACCCAGACAGAAATGTGATAAATAAACTGACATATAATGGCCACAAATCATCTAGCCAGTGTGTATACCAAAGGTGACTAATATTTACCCTGGGCAGACTTGCACACTCGATTGTTATTAATATGTTCTATTTTATTCTAACAATCTTATTTACAGTGTTCAGGGTCTCCATGTATACAAAGCTCCTAATACCCAAACAATCCTCTTTACAACATTACTGAAAGCTAAAGGATTACAACCACAGAGATGGCTATTCCATTACATAAATTGTAGAAGCATGATAAGAACCTTCATAAATTCTCTGTATACTTTGTCTCTACAAATTTATTTTTAAGTTTAAATTTACAGTTTATTTATTTATAGCTTAATAAAGCAACTTGTCATTGAAACAGCAGACTATGCTGTGTAACCAAAAATGCAGGAAAATTTGAAGACTTGAAAATATTCAGTTCTATTATATTTATGCAAATATATAACTTCACACTAATAAAGATTATTTATCAAAGGTAAATTTGAGTACATATGTATATGAAAATAACAATATATTTTTACAGGGCTTAAAGGAAATATTCATAATTGTTAACCACACCTCAAATGCCAGCAAGAAATTTTTCCATATGTCTATTACTAGGAAACTACCATCTAACATTAGTTTATAAATGCATTTGCTCAGAATAAATTTAAAAATTCTAAAAATTTCTGAATTCTAAGAAATCAGACCCCTGACTTTTAGAAGACCCATTTTTATTTTTTTTTCCTTCTTCAATACTTCTGGGGTTCCTAAGGTAATTTTGCATGAAAGCAAAGGAAGAAATGAATCTTGAATATGTATGAAATAGAGATTACATACCTGTGTAAACTAAAGTGTGGTTTCTTCCACAAACAGCAAGTTTTGGTTTTTCTGGTTTTAAAGCTAAGAATTAAAACCAAACAGGAGAGAAAGTTATAAACAAGATGATAGTTTGTTCAACAACAAGATGTTCTATGCTCTAGAGGGAGCTCTGATTTCTTCTTTTCACATTTTTATGAACAGAATTATTACAAAATTCATTGCCCATTTGAATCTAGCACATGACTTATCAAATCAGTATTCCCCCAAGATAAGAAAATAGGTCAGACCTTAAAAACTTAAAACACTCAAGTTAACTTGATGATGGTTACTTCACCCCAGTGCCACAGTCCCTGGAATTTGCCATTTATGGGATATGCCTCAAAGAATATATTAAGTTGCAGGATACAATTAATGATTTAAGCTGTCTCCAGTTTTCATTAACAGTGCTATTGTTACTTCTCCCTTAGACTTTTCCCACTATTGTAAATCTTTGAAACCATCCTGTTCCTTTGTCTCACCATCCCTGCCTCCCTTTGTTGTGCTCACATCCCTTTTCTGCTCCATTCTGATCATTTCCTGATCACTGATCTCAATTGCCAAGGGCAGCCCCACCTGGACTAGTGCCTACATTTTTTGCTTGTGTCATCCTGTCTCAATTTCAGCTGACTTAGCACCAATGAGAGTGCCATGGCATGCCCTTCTTTGCAGTCTGGTCTCTTTGAAAGACTGGGAATGTATGTGAGGGGAGTCAGGAGTTTTTTTGGTGGGAAAGAGAGAATACAGAGGCTCCTCTTCTCCTATGACAAGTGTACTCCATTTCAGAAATAGAGAGAAAAAATGTCTTCCTGACTTTTCCATCCTTGCTCCAGCTGCTGTTCATTGTCAACAAATTATCTTCTCTCAGTCATGTTCATGTACCCTATACAATGCTCTAAACCAGGATTATTTTTACATAATAAATCTTTAATTGCTTTTCCACTGCACTAGTCCATAACAAAGCCAACAACAATCATCCCTTTCACAAACCCTTTTTCAGCCCTTACAGATCAACTTTCATCAGCTCTTTAACATCCAGATTAAGGTGCCTCCTACCAAGTCACCAAACAAATCTATCAACTTAAGCATGAACTGCCCCTGGTCTGTCACACAGACACAAATCTAATTTGTCCAAATTCAAGTTCCTGCCTCTTCTATCCAACACCTACCACGACCATCAGGCTAGAACCATAACATTTCCAATGCTGGTTTCTTCCTACAATCTTTATATCCCAACACTCTTCAACTTCAGAGATGATCTTAATCAGCTCTTCAGAATCTTCAGAATCCTGTGCTCCCTCAATGTCCACTTAGGCTAACAATTTGTATGTTATGAGACATGCTATATTTACAATGTTGCTGGTGATTTTTCATAACCAACGTCATTAATCCCTAACAAAGTCTCAGAAAATATTTTTTTTTCAGGAAACATGCAGACATAAGCATTTGGCTCCAAGCAGAAATTGAAAAGTGTCCTTGCAACTCCATTCCCAAAGCCAAGTGATGACCAAAGGCTAGTGAGAAAAACTCCAGGAATTCTTCCTGCTGTCTACTGCCAAGAGAAAAAAGACACCCCCTTTGTGATTTTTTTTCAATGGATGCCAGGTCTGCTTTGAATTGCTGTCATCTTCTCTTCATCTTTTATTCTACATTGCAATTCAACAGCAAACCCAAAACTTGAAACCAAATCTATTTAAGCCAAGGCAGGAATCAATCTCTCACATGGCTGACAGAAGATGTGTACCTGAGAGTCGCTGCATTCTCAATCTGAAGGGAGATGGAGGCAGGAGCAAATAAAGGACAGTAGAATAAACTAAATTAGGAAGAACAGAGTTTGAACAAGCAGGATAATTTGTTTTTAACAATAAGCTAACAGATCGATCTGCTGGCAGAAAGAGTGAAGATAAACATCTAATAGTGAAGAGAAATGTGTTAATGGGATAGATCTGACTTGACATAAGTAAAGGGATAAGGAAAAGTATTGACTCAGCTTTGTTTGACAAGATAAAAACAGCTAGGAAAGATCAAAAAGATCACAGTGCAATGAAAACATATTTTCCAATACGTGAAAGAATACAGGAATTTATTTCAGTGCCTCATAAAAATGTATTAACATTTATGTCCCCTGGGGCATTTCTTATACTTGTTACAAATGTAGCAGTACTTGTGAAAAGTATTCTGATAGATTTTTTTTCATTTACAAAGTTGCTAAGAAAATAGTGACACAGAGGTTACACAATGCTGCTGGAACTATGGCTTCTAAAACACAGACATGCAGAGACCAAGCATCTGATTATTGTCTGCAGTAAAAAATGAAGATGTGGTTTGAGAGAATAGGCAAGTACTACATAAAGTCAGAGCCCTCAAAAATGACAGGATTCTGTGTATCCAAAGTAATCCTCAGATGCAAAAGGACTCAGAATCTGAAGTAATGGAAAATCAATAAGGGATCCTTTAGAGCTACCTTCATGATAATGTGCACTTGTGATGAAGAAAAATAAAGAATCAGTTATTTTGGAATTGTATCCTATGAAGTACCTTTTCACAAAGGTCTCCTTTCAAAAGGACAAAAGAAAAGAAAAAAAGAAAAATCACACAAACCTTTAACACAGGTTGGTTTGCTGACAGTGTTCTTTGATCCTAGTCCTAACTGGCCCCAGTCGTTACTGCCAAACATGTACAGTTTACCTTTCCCTGAAAGAAATCACAGACAGAATCCACACAAGGCTTTGAATACCTCATTGGAGACAAGATGGTCATTCACTCACAATGAACTTATTACTTCCTTTCTAATCTAAGGTTTAAGTTTAGGCAATTCGGTACATAAGTGTAAACAATAATTAATATCCTTGTGATTTTACAGAAAATAGCAATTGCATTGTTTAAGTAAGAAAGCCAGAAGAAGAAACATTCTCATCTTTAATTACAGCGCAGATGAAGTGCTCTTCAGAAAACAAGATGTACTTTGGGTAGACCCTGCAGTTCAGAAACCTCAGTGTCTATAAGCCCCCTTATAAAATAACAGCACATCAAACTGAGCACCCACATCTTTTACTCCAAAGACACAAATGAATAATGCAGCTATTTGATAAATACAAGTACAGATTTGTAATATTTGGTTTATTTGATTGTTTAGGGTGGGATATTTCTTTTATTGCTAAATGTCTTCTCTTAAAATGACTTACAAATATGCACTTCTATCAAATGTAGTTTCTGATAAATTTTCACAAACGATTACTATACTGTATCAATTTAATACTATACTGTATTAGTTTGTTATTTTGCATATAAAGACAGAATATGTAAACCCACCATGCAGTCAGAGAGTTTTGTAAACCTAAATGCAGACATTAGGTTACAACTGTTCAACAGGGACAATGCCAGAATCACCTTTCAGAAATTCCTGATGTGTCATTGGACTTGCATATTTGACCATTGCAAACAATGAACTGTTACAATTCTGAAAAAACAGTGCTTTTTCTAAGGATGGTATATGAACAGATGACAATTTTGTCATCTGTGATGAAAATTGGACAAAACTAATTACTGACAATACCTTAAAATGAACTCATTTATTTAATTTTTAAAAATTATCACACCTTGAAAAGCTGTAAAGTTCCTACTGGAAAATAAGACCTTTATTCCAACAGAAATCTTTATAAAACAATAGAAACTGATTTATCCAAAAAACGCACAACAAAACAACATCCTTTCCCCAAACTCCCACCCTTTTGCAACAAATAAAAGGATTTTTTTTTACTTCTGAAGGTCTGCAGATCTTTGTGCATTAGACTCCATCATAATGTTGTCATCCTAGATAGAAATTTGGTCATAGAGTTCATCACCCTCATCATCTACAATTACCACAACCAAAATCCATAATTGCAATTCCATATAATAATGCCAAAATAATATGGCTGTTCCCAGTGAAGGTTCTGATTGTGATTTACAGAGTCTTTGAAATATGATATTGCAAAGTTTTAAATATTACCCTAAAAATCATTTTCTAATAAAAATATACATTCATTTTCTTAAAGATAATCACATAGTTCAAAAAAAATAAAACCACACCAGTGCTTAACTGCAACTAGTATCTAAAATCCTGATTGTTAGATTTTACAATTCTTGGCACGTGGGACTATGTGTCAATATTATGTCTTTCCAAGAAAGCTGGAAGGGAAGAAAGACAGAGGTCAAATTCATGCTCACAGTGTTCTACTAACAGCATTTATATCTCCATCCTAATTTTGATAATGTAATCACGTCAAACACATGCAGAGCTGTCGCTGACAGCAAACACACCTTAACAGAAAGGATTTTTATCAGCAAATGACATCTATCCTATATTGGTACGGCTTCCTTGTATCCTTGCTTTACACTTTCCAACTGCTTTCCTAAGACAGCAGTACTTTTGTGGGAGTATGATGCCAAGCTGCCCTAATTCAATTTAAGCACATTCTCTTTTATCCATGCAAAATTCAAACAAGGTCATGCTTTTCATCCTATAATCTGTTGGGTTTTATATCAGTCTTTAAATTCTCAGGCATTGCTTTGTAAATCAAGGAGCTTAATAGATGAGAGGAATTTTTCCACATTCTTTTACAACTGAGTGACAGTCTTTTATAATTTCAGGTTTCCTAGGAGTAGAATAGAAAATAAGAAATCTGGGAAGCAGTTAATTTAGAAAGAGAATGAGAATTAACAGGCACTACAGAAGAACCTAAACAAATGCCTGTAATGAGGCAACATTTCTCAGTCTGTACAGCAAATCAAGTTTCGGAAGAGATGTGATTCAATCTAAGCTGGCCAAGAAATCCAATATAATTTTGCATGCAAAAGGCACAATTTTCATAACTGAGATATGCCAGCCATCACACAGATGCACTGAATCCAACAGCAGAAAAATAGGCAAGGATCAAATTTCAAAATTTTGTAAACTCAGACTGCTCTTGGTTTTTTCGCTTCCACTGTGGTGCCACCATCCAGATTGCGGCCACCTGCCAGGTGGAATGGCTGGCACAAGACAGGTCCAGCAGAGTAAGTAAGACTGTGACTCTGGGCAGGAGGGAAACAACAGGAGACTATGAAAAGGCCTGTTTTGGTGATGAAAACACACTTCCAACTGTAGTCTCCACCTTTATCCTGATGCAAAAGTGAAGTATTTCTCCCAAGCATGTGTTCCCTGGCAGGTACACCAGCAGATGTTTCACCAACAGCAATTCAGGGCTACCAGGGAAGCCACAAGACACTTGCACATGTAGCAACAGAGGTTTTGTGGGACCCTTCAGTAAAAGATTGTCTCCCACCTCATTTCTCATGAACAGTTGCTACCACAACTGTGATTCCTGGCAACCCCATCAGTATGTGCACTTCTGTTTCATGAAGTGCTTTTAAAGGCATTCACTGGGCAGCTGGGAAATATCAGCTGAAATCCCACATGCTTTGTCATAGCAGGCAGCCAAGTACACTAATCACCTATGTTTAAAGGTATGTTTTACATATTCTCCCCCTTTCTTTTTAAATTATATGAGTGTGGGAGAGAAATAAGATGGGAAGGCAATGTACAGGCCTTGAATATTTACTACAAGATTCTTCTGAGAAACTGTATCTGAATAAAACATAAAAGGTAGTGTTTTATACAGAGTAGCAAATGCCAAGGCACCGCAATTACTTTTAAAATTATTTTTATTTGAGCTATATAGTGAATAAATTAACAGTTGATTTAAAACTCATATAGAAGTCAAATAAGTCTCAGGAAAATAGGAATGGCATCAGTTTTGTTAGACAAATCATGGTATTTTCAGAAACTTTATTGAGCAACAAGCACAGCCATGATTAGGACATTTGGCATCATAAAGCAAAACCAGCACAGAACATTGCTTGCTCATATACATCAACACAAATGTGTACTAATCTTTCTCATCCTCCCCTTGCAGTTGATGCAAAAGATATTGTGCCATGTTCTGGTGACCTACTGATAACCAGAAAGAAGAAAACTGGTGACAAAACACCTGGAGGGTTTCCAACATCTCTGCTGAATGCTTAATGCCTTACAAAACCTGAAATTATGAGTATACTATCTTCTTGTGGTTCCATATGCACCTCTTTTCACTCCCACTTTTACAACTGATACTTCTTTCTTTCCTTCAGCCTTCTTGTGCTGGGGGCTTCAATTCTCTCCAAAGCTCCGAGTTCAGAAAAGGTGTCTTCATCCATCAGCACTTTCCCCCTTGTGAACAGATCAGTCTCTTTGATAAAATGTGGTTAAGCTGCCTAGGATACTCTAATCAAGGCAAATAAACAACAAGATAGCTGTTAAGTTTAAGAGTTTTGTAGGAAACAGAATTTAATACACAGGCATTGGAAGGAGATTCTTAAAAGTATTCATATTCATACTTCTTCACTCCAGCTCCCATGAGGATAAATTAGTTGATTTCCAAAGCCTGCAGTTATAGAAGATGCAGGGAATGGACTATTAGTATGCTTGGGCCAAAAGATACAGAAATGAGGCAAGAACCATTATGAAACATGTTACAAGTGATGCTGGAATATATATTACTCATGACTGCATTAAATGCCTAAAGAAGACCACTGCTTAAAAAATTCCTTCTTGGACATTTTAATCAATGTTATGCCAATGGTAGACAGCAAAAGAATAAAGAAACACAACTTCCTTCCTGGAGAAGAAAACATTTCTTCAACTAGCTCAGCAAGCCAACTCAAAGTCAGCAAGTAACTATCACTGGTCCCATCAATTCCAACAGGCAGCCACTATACATGAATAAAATTTTGGACTCTTAACTCCTGACCTAGAAAGGCAAAGGACAGAGTGTTTTGTATTTATTTTACACTTGTCTTTGTAAGTCATATGGGAATATTGATGCTAGATTAGATGAAAGTTTGAAAGGTTCTGAATATTTTGTTTGAATGCTAAATATCAGTTCTTGTACATTTTCTTCATTAGTATTCAGTCAAGATTTGGTGCTAGTTATAGCCAACTCTCCTGCCCAATCCAGCATTAAGGAATGATTTGTACCAGTTTGGGTGATTGTTTTATTTACAGTTGTTGAGCCATGTTAAGTGTAAAATTGGTATGTTTCTAAATTTTCATCTACCTCATATTCCTACTGTCCCCTACAAATATACCTCCCACTCCCTCTTTCAAGGTGTGGGGAAAAAAAGGAGGGGGGAAATTTTGTGACCTGTAACTAAAGATTGAAAGCATGCATTAACACACACCTGCTTGAGATACTTTTCCTTCCTTGGGGATGTTTGCCTTTTATCTCTTCCAGGTCAGGTTCAGCTGAAGAAGCTCCTGGTTTCCCACAAGGTCTGCACCCTTCTCAGTAAACTCATTATCAGCATGAGCTTGTGAACCATTTATTCCAGGTGTTACTGCAGCTCAGGGTCATTCCCAAGGGCTGTATCATCCAATTCCATCTAACTGCAGAAATGTGAGGTGCACATGGGCATGCACTGGTGTGAAGAACAAATGAGGGAGAAGAGCTTTTTCCTTCCCTTCTTCGCTTTTTTTGTATGACTTTTGCAGTTTCTCTACCTTTGCTTGTTGTTGATCCACACTTTACTCTCACTTCTGTCTTTACTTTACAATGACCCAGAAAACCTTTTGCTACCAAAGAAGTGTTTTCCTCATGCTTCTACAGTTCCTTGAGAGCAAAAGCTTTGAGGAAATCAAGATCTGATCATCTAGAAGCCTCCCTGGTGATGTACCTGCCCCCTACAATAGCTAGGGCAAGCTACAGAGACACTTTTGAAACAAGCTACATATACTAAAATAATGGAGAGAAGGGGAAATTATACAGTAATGGTGCTGCATGAAAATCTCTGCAAGATGACTTCTTCAAAAGCTTTATCTGACTGGTCACTATTACAGTGATGTGGGAATTTGGGGATTGTTGCTTACTGGTTTAAACTCAGAACTATACCTGTGTTATTTCAAACTGGGTGTGGGCATATAAAAGTATATGTAAAAAGAAAATGCAAAAAGAAAATGCCACAGTGCCCCAGGTTACATCTGGATTAATTTAATGCAACAGGTAATTTAATATTATTGGTTCAATCAAAAAAAAAGTGCCAAGCTTTGTTCAAAATAAACTACTAATGTATAATTCATCTGCCGTGAAGTTAGGCTTGAAAAATTCATCATGTAATTTCACCTCAGGGTGTTCTGCAGCCCATGAAATCTATAGTCTTTTTTATCTTGCCTGGAATAGTTCTTTCTAAAAATTCAGCATCTTCAATGTTGCTTGTGAACATTGCAAGAAATTCTCAGCAAATTACTTAATAAGAAATTACCAACTGGATATTGATGAGCAATAACTACATTCCAATTTAAAAAGTCCTGAAAATACACATATATTTTTTTCAACAACAAAGTCTAATTATCTGTCAGCAGTTGATTGTCAGTACAATCATCACACACACTTATCCACAGAAGAGTAGTCCCCCCATGTAAAATAAAATGAACAAATTCTTTAATGAGTATTGTTTCCACCATTTCAAAGAAAATAAAAAAAAAACATTAATAATGCTCCCTCTATTACACCAGTTTCTTTGAACGCTTTTTCCATTTATTTCTGATTTTTGTAGGATTTTCTAAAATCCTTTATTGAGTTGCTCTTTCAAGGGCTATTTTCATCTCAGAGTTGACAGTAATCCCAAACTTAATTTGAGAGACACAATAAATTGTAAATACAATAAATTGTATTTATTGTTTCAAGGAGATTTCTAGTGAACTTGTGGTGTTCAGAAGTTACTGTTACTTCCATGATACAACAAATGTAACACACTAAACATTGTCAGATTCACGAGAAACATTCAGCCTGAACTAAGTTATGTATAGTTTCAATCCTGTCATACATTCAGTTATTAAAAACTTCCCCCAAACAGTTCTTGGGCAAGTCCTGTGAAAACCTTGAGTGACCTCACACTAACTCCAAAGGTATCCAACAGTTCCCACAAAGCAATCCCCTCTCCTCTCCCCAACCTCAACCTCAGGATGCAGGTAAGATTCCTAACTTTCAAAGGTGCCCAAATACATCACTTAATCATATAGGTCAGCTTCACTACAAGAAAGACATTGAGGGGCTGGAATGTGTCCACAGAAGGGTCTGGAGCACAAGTCCTGTCAGGCAAGCTGGGAGAAAAGGGAGCTCAGAGAAGACCTCGTCACCCTACAACTTCCTGAAATTGTAGCCAGGTGGGGTTTGGCCTCTGCTCCCAGGTAACAAGCAAGAGGATGAGAGGAAATGGCTTCAAGCTGTGCCAGGGAAGCTTTAGACCAGAGACTGGGAAAAATTTCTTCATGGAACAGGATGCCCAGGGAAGTGGCTGCGTCACCATCCCTGGAGGTGTTTAAAAGATGCATAGATGTGGCACTTGGGGACATGGTGGTAAACTTGGCAATGTTGGGTTAACGGTTGGACTTGCTAATCTTAAAGGTCTCTTCCAACCTAAACAATTCTGATTCTATATCCTCCATTTCCAATACTGACCTGTAATAATAGCTGTATGTTCATCTCCACATGATATAAGTACAGGCTTGTCATTTTTGAACCAGAACTTGCTAGGAATATCTTCTGCAAATTTGCTTTTCCCAAACGTGAAAACAGCACCTGACTCTGGAACACAGAAAGATGTCAATTTCAGTGAAAGCAAATTTTGCCTCACATATTTTGAAATAGACATGTTTATCAATTCAGTGGCACATTTTATTTTCTTGTCTTTCTCTTCTTTCTTCTCTCAGCCTTCAAAACATGAGTTGGCAAAACTCCCATTTCGCCCAAACAGGAGGAAGAACTGTCCTGTGTGAGTGGCAGAGCACTGGAACAGGCTGCCCAGAGAAGCTCTGGAGTCTCCATCTCTGGAGATATTCAAAACCTGCCTGGACACCATCCTGTGCAACCTCCTCTGGGTGAACCTGCTTCACCAAGGGGGCTGGACCAGATGGTCTCCAGGGATTTCTTCCAATCCCAACCATTCTGTGATAAAGCCATGATCTAAAAAATCCAAACAAAACCACCCCAAAATAAAGTCCAAGCAGCTCTTCAGGCTGTAGTCTGCCTGGTTTTTCAGTTCTTCACACTTTACAGAATGTTAACTACGTGTTCAGCTTTTGGTTAGGCATGTGGTTTGACAGAAAATATCAATTCTACAGAAAAATAAATGAACTTACAAGTTAAATTATTTGTCAAAATTCTTGCAGACAATGTCAGCTCAGATATAAAAGCTCGATTAGACCTCCTAGTTTAAAATGTCAAAGCCTGTGCTATAAAACATAGATTAAAAAAAAACCAAACAAACAAACAAACAGAAAAACTAAAAAAAAAAAAACCCCAACAACAACAACAAAAAAAACCAAAAAAAACCCCCAAAAAAACAAAACCAAAAACAAACAACAACAAAAAAAACCCAAAGGTTTTCCTTGTAAATTCTGTTAGCATGTAACACGTTAGGACTTATACACAATAACAGTAGACTGTTTCTGAAAATTACATTGAGACATCTTAGTGCACTTACTTTCAATGAAAACAATCTCATCAACAATATGCACCCCAGCTCCAAAACCTAAAAGTTCTTTCTTAAACTGTATATTTGATTTGAATTTAAAATAATTATTTAATGCAAAAGCTTCCCCTATTTCCAAATAAGTTATTGTATCTATCAGATGGAGCAGACATGTATAAATTGCACTTATTACCTCACTAGATGTGTTTTTCACTTTCACTTGCTCAAAAAGCTTTGTGCAGACAAACTCAAGCCTTCTTAAAGAAAGAGCTGAGTTTTTTCCTTATTTTACCTAGACATACCTACAACTACAGACAAGCTAAGCAGCATCTGAAAACTCTGTTTTAAGTTTTCATCTACCAGCCAGACAGCCATGGACTTCTGAACGTTTTTAGCAATCTCTTCAGCAGGTAGAGAGCTCTCTGGTTCATTTATTTTCCCTTCAGAAGGGTTAACATGAAAACATTTTATGTTCTTTATTCAGTGTATACAAAAAGCTGATACATTTTCCAATGCATTTTGTATCTCATTCATTTGACTAAGCCACAACATTTCACAACTGGACACAACTACTGTGCCCTGTTCTGGGCTCCTCAGTACAAGTGAGGCACGGAGATCACAAAGTGGGTCCGAGGGTGACAACAAGGATTTTGGGGTACTGGAGCATCTCTCTTATGAGGAAAGGCTGAGGGATTTGGGCTGTTCAGCCTTGAGAAGAGACTCAGGGAACCTTACTAATGTGTATAAAAATCTAAACTCAGGGGGTGCCAAGAAGATGCAGCCAGGCTCTGCTCGGTGGTGCTGAGCAATAGGGCAAGAGGCAATGGCCAGAAATGATGCTCGGGAAGTTCCGCCTGAACTGGAGGAAGAAATTCTTTTCTGTGCATTCTCTCTCACTGGACATATCCCAGAGCCGTCTGGACACAATCCTGTGCCATGTGCTGCGGGATGACCCTGCTTGAGCAGGGAGATGGGACCAGACAACCCTCGCGGCTCCTTCCAGCCTGACCCATCCTGTGCTTCAGCGCTGCCGCCAGTTTGGAAACGGAACCCCATCAACTCGGTAAATTAAATCCCACAGGACGTACACGAGGCGTTTGTTATCCCAGCAACGAGGCAACGTTTGAACATTACCCTGGGCCAAACCGCGACACAAACTAACCATTAATGCTCCGAATTAAGCGCGCCCCCCGAGTGCCCGGCGCTGCCCCCCGCCCCCGCCGCTGACGGGGCTGCCCCGTCCGAGCTCTGGCGGCGGCGGACGCGTTTCCCCCCAGACGCCGCGAAGCACCGGCCCGGCTAGGGGCCCGCAGCCGGGAGAGACCTTCGGGGGTGAGGCGGGCAGGGGCCGGCACAGGCAGACGCACTTTCCCCCCGGGTGCCTTGAGGAGCGGCCGCACTCACCGGGCACGGGCAGCTCGGTCCCCGCGGCGGGCGCGGCCATGGCGGCCGGGAGGAAACCCCGCCGGGCCGGGGGGCAGCGCCGCGGGCAGCGCCGCCTGGCGGCCGGCGGGGGCGGCACCGGGCCCGGCCGGACCGTGAGGGCGAGCGGGGTTGGAAAGGCCTGGCACAGGGCTGTGGGCACGGCATCACCACAGGATCAGCTGTGCCGGGCACGGGGAAAGGCCTGGCACAGCGTTGTGGGCACGGCATCGCCACAGGATCAGCTGTGCTGGGCACGGGGAAAGGCCTGGCACTGGGCTGTGGGCACGGCATCACCACAGGATCAGCTGTGCCGGGCACGGGGAAAGGCCTGGCACAGCGTTGTGGGCACGGCATCGCCACAGGATCAGCTGTGCTGGGCAGGGAGAAACGCCTGGCACAGGGCTGTGGGCACGGCATCGCCACAGGATCAGCTGTGCTGGGCACGGAGAAACGCCTGGCACAGGGCTGTGGGCACGGCATCGCAGGACCAGCTATGTCCTGAGGGGTGAAAGGCCTGGCACAGGGCTGTGGGCACGGCATCGCAGGACCAGCTATGTCCTGAGGGGTGAAAGGCCTGGCACAGGGCTGTGGGCACGGCATTGCAGGCACAGCATTGCAGGATTGGCTATGTCCTGAGGGGGGGAAAGACCTGGCACAGGGCTGTGGGCATGGCATCACCACAGGATCAGCTGTGCTGGGCACGGGGAAAGGCTTGGTACAGGGCTATAGGCACGGCATCGCAGGATCAGCTATGTCCTGAGGGGTGAAAGGCCTGGCACAGGGCTGTGGGCACGGCATTGCAGGCACAGCATTGCAGGATTGGCTATGTCCTGAGGGGGGGAAAGACCTGGCACAGGGCTGTGGGCATGGCATCACCACAGGATCAGCTGTGCTGGGCACGGGGAAAGGCCTGGCACAGGGCTATGGGCATGGCATCACGACAGGATGGGCTGTGCTGGAAACAGCCTCTGGGACCACCATATACAACCTACAGCCAGCATCACCATGGCACTCCATGCCACATCCAGTCTTTCCTTAAACTCCTGCCGGTGGCTCCAGCACCTCCCTGGGCAGCTGGCAGTGGGGCAGCACCGGGCCCGGCACAGCATCCTGAGCTCCCGGGGAAAGCTTCTCTATGAAATCAACCCCCACAGTGCCCAGGGGGTGCCCCTGAGGACCCTGGACCTCTTGTTGGCCAGATGGATACTGGACCCAGGACCAGTGATCTCCTTTTCTCTCTCTTCCCACCTTTTTTTTTTTTTTTTTTTTGCTTTTATTTCTCTTGCTACTAGGAGATAAGGAGCTAACTTAAGCCAATTAATATGCCACATATATAATTTACTAATAAAACTTTGTAAGTTTTTTTGGACCCTCTGACATTTGCTGTTCCTTTTCAACCGCAGGCATCTGTAAATCTTGGCTGTTCCCTTCCTGTTAGGTGGCACTCATTCACAGGAGCTTCCTAAGAAATTGGTCCATGTGGGAATTGGGATCAGGCAGCCGCTGTACAGGGGGGTGGTGGATTGGTCTTCACTGGACACCAGGTGCCCACCGAGACATTTCATCTCTACTCCTTCTCAGCTGGACAGAGGAGAGAAAATAAGACAGGAAGCATAGGCTGAGAAAAGGTAGATTGCTAAAACAAAAATGAAAGGTTGCATGCACAAAAGCAAAGCAAAAAAACAGAGATTTTTTTTCTTCTTGCCATCAGCAAGTGATGTCCAGCCAAGTACCAGGAAGAGGAGTTAAGCACCTCATCTTTGCTCCAGAAGGCACATATTGTAAAATAATGAATGTTTCCCCTTCTTCCTTCTTTCCTTAGCTTTTACATCTGAGCTGGCATCATATGATATAAAATATCCCTTTGGTTAATTTGGGTCTGCTGCCCTGTGTTCCCTCCCAAGATCTTGTCCAGCCCCAACCTACGGATGGGGGGTGGGAAGTTGGAGGGACAGCGCTGGTGCTGCTCAGCACCAGCTCACCAGTGCCAGCACTCCTCAGCAGTACCCAAAACTCTTGGTGTGGCATCAGCACCTTTCCAGCTACCAGTGCAGAGCCCAGCACTGGGAAGGCTGCTGTGGAAAACGAGTCCAGCTCAGCCAGACCCAGTACAAGGTGTGACCTGACACAGAGGCATCGGCAGCGTCCCCTCCCTGCCAGGCTGCAGGATGGGACTTGTCCTTGACTGGAGCCACATTTGCTTTGTCTGCTGTCTTTTCTCCTGGGCATCACTAGTGACACAAGTTCAGTCCCAGGGGCTGGGCTTGAAGGTCATGGGAGTAATTTGCTAGTGGACAACCAAGAGGGAAACCGTGGCCTGACATTCTTCTCTTTGTTTTCTTTCTTGCCTTTCTTCTCTTTCTTCTATTTCTTCCCTTTCTTCTCTTTCTTCTCTTTCTTCCCTTTCTTCCTTTTCTTCCCTTTCTTCTCTTTCATTCCCTCACTACTCATTTCTCTAGGATTTTACTTCTGTTTGACATTTCCTCTGGCAACTGCTGCATTTCCCAAGCATCTCAGGGTTGGTTCAGCATGAGGGGTCTTGAGCAAATCCCACCAGGAGCTATCACCCTGCGTGATGTTTTCACAGATGTCTGTCTTTCTCTGGAGTCAAACTTCTCTCTTGTATGCTTTAATTATAAGTTCCTTGCATTGTAATTTCTAGGCATCACCCTCTCTGACAGATATGCCATCACCTTGATTTACCCTAGTGCGTCTCTCCTTACAGGGAGGAGGAAATGAGAAAGTAATGGTCATAT